TTTAGGGGGTTAGGGTTTAGGGTCATCAGAAGCCAACAGCGCAGAAAGCAAAGGCGGCGAGGCTGCAAAGATCCGTTCCGTCCAGCAAGATGGCTAGGGACCCTATTCGGGTTTTTACCCTAAACCCTAAACCCTAAACCCTAAACCCTAAACCCTAAACCCTGGTACCTTCCTGGGTGGTTTTAGGCAAGGAAGATCCCAGGGTGTGGGGTTTAGTTAGGGCCCCAAAAAAGCACATAAGCAAAAATTAGGATAGGGATGTCCCATATAAACCCCCTTCTAATGAAGCCCAGAAGGTAGGGATATCCCTAGAAAATGCTTGTGCTTATGTCCTTTTGGGGCTCCTAATTAGTAGGGTAATTTGGATGATCGGCGAGACGTCGCACGTAGGGTTTAGTGGGTGGGGGTCATCATACAGGATGTAGACGACTCCCACAAACAAACCTGCCATTAAATCTACCATCTTTTTGGAGGAGTGACAACTTGCAAGCTTGTGGGAGAACAACGTAATAACAAGGTCGCCCGAGCACTTGGAGGCTCGTGTGACTGAGTAAGTCTACGTAGATTCTACGTAGCCCCCTGTAGCCCCCTATGTATAGAGAAAAACGTCTTACTAGCCCTTCTTGCTAAATCACAAAGAGCTCCACTTTCTGTCATTTCGGACTTGGGATGTGTCCTTATGTTCGAGATCTGGGACTGTAGACAATTAATATAATTGCTTTCTTGCGTGAGACCCAGCGAGAGAAGCTTGGGGTCTGCTCGTGCTCTTATTGAATAGAATAGCTCCTTCGAGCGTGAGGGCTCGACCAGAATCAAAAATGGAAAAACTCTAACCCCTAAGCCCTTTAAGGAATTGTGCTAGCATATGTTAGTATTCTTCAGGCTCCGATGCTACCCGGCTTCGGATGAGTCTTGCCGCAACAGCTACAAAGAAGGGTTCCTTCAAAGAGCTCCTTGAAGGGAGCCCATAAAGGCTCCTTCGAGGGTTAAGGCGTTTAGAATGTATAATGAAGGGATTAGCAGGATCAGGCGACTATGTGGGCAAGAATACTACTCAAATTGGAGCCTGTCCATCGAGCCATCCTCATCTACTTCCTACCACCCTGAAACCCTAAACCCTAAACCCTAAACCCTGAACCCAAGACCCTAAACCCTAAAC